TGTAGGGGCCAGCAGTGTCTGATGAGATATATGCTCCCACAAGAAGCAAGGAATTCAACCTTTGAAGGGTTAGAGCTTACTGTTTCCAACGGACATAAACTAAGGTAACAGGAGTCAAGGCCCATACAGATCACATGCTGTCCTCTGACGAGGTGCATCCAGCAACCATCCTAGAATGGTGCAGCAATGCAGGGGAGCTGGTGCCAATCCCAAAATAGAAACAATCAAATGATGACTAGTGATGAGGAACTGTTATTAATACAGTTGACCCTTGAACTACATTGGTTTGAACCATGTGGGTCCACTTACACACGGATTTTTTTCAATAGTAAATACAATAATACTACACAATCTGCCATCTGAGGTTGGTTGGAGCCGTGGATGTGGAGGAACCCAGAACACAGGGGGCCTTATAACTATAAGCTATACATGGATTTTCCACTGTGCAGAAGGTCAGCATCCCTAACCAATGCATTTTTCAAGGGTCAACTGTACTTTATGATGAGACAATAATGAATATGTTAGGTTGAGCCAGATGAAATTTTTACCCTCAAGAACAGCAATTTCATGATTTAATATAATTTGCTAATTTATGCATTATCTAATCTCCCTTCCCCCATCTACCCACGAATGAGTCTCCATGAAGGCACGCGTTCTGGTACCTTTTGTTCACTTTTGTATCTCCAGTGCCTGGAACATAGTGGCATTTGGCAAATATTTTCTCAATCAATGCATGAACTTGCTAAGCACCAACTATGTACCTTATACTCTACTACATGTTTATACTTTATTGCCTATTTGTTTCTCATAACATCCTGGTTACTCCCATCCTTCAGATGAGTAAACTGAGGCTTGGTGAGGTCTAACTTGCTCAAGTTAGACACACTCTCAAGCAATGCGAGGCCATTTATATTTATATTTATGCTATAAAAGTTGTTCAAATTTGGCTATCTTTCCTCAGTTGACTAGACCATGGATATTCTATTGGAAATGGTGACAAAGAAACTGTAGAATACCAAAAAGAGAAGGAGGTGAGCGGGGGGAGGGGAGAAAGAAAAATACCAGTCAATGGGTTTGGGGAAGCTTTTATTCTTATTAAAATGCAGTATGAAAGAATCTAAAAATTATCCTTAGTCTTTCAGGTCCTCTGCCTGAGGGGCTCTTCAATTATTTTGGCACTTGGAGCCCCATCACTGGTGTTGCCTTCTTGGGAACAGAGGGTGGATGACGGGTGGCTTTTGCCTGCAGCCTATAAGTGAGCCTCTGTGGGACTACCTGCCTCTCCCAACAAGCAAGGGCGTGTTCTCACTCTTTTTACCATTTCCTCTGTGGATGAAATCAGGGGCCTCTACTTGCAAAGCCCTGTTGCTTTAAAAGATTTTTCCTTAATCTATCTTTGGAGAAACAGTGCCAAAAAGAACCAGTTAGCAGGGTTTTTTTTTTAATATTTTTAAAAAATTAATTAATTAATTTATTTTTGGCTGCGTTGGGTCTTCATTGCTGCGCTCGGGCTTTTCTAGTTGCGGCAAGCGGGGGCTACTCTTCATTGCAGTGTGCGGGCTTCTCATTGCAGTGGCATCCCTTGTTGCGGAGCATGGGCTCTAGGCGTGTGGGCTTCAGTAGTTGTGGCACGTGGGCTCAGTAGTTGTGGCTCGTGGGCTCTAGAGCGCAGGCTCAGTAGTTGTGGCGCACGGGCTTAGTTGCTCCGCGGCATGTGGGATCTTCCCGGACCAGGGCTCGAACCCGCGTCCACTGCATTGGCAGGCGGATTCTTAACCACTGCGCCAGCAGGGAAGTCGCAGTAGTATTTTTAAATGAACGAAGGAGTTGGAGTTTGAAATTCGTTGATGTTCCTCAATCCTCTTCAGTGCAAAGATGCAGTTTGTCTTTTGGAAAGGGAACAGTGTAACTTTGGCGCGTCTTGTTCAAGAACAATGGTCATAATCTGTTGGTGCCACTATTCTTGATGCCTCACATAGGGTTTGTGTAAGAGTGGACCATTATAATTTCCACTCTTGCTGAAATGTCCTTTTCCTTCAGCCTGAAAGAATCAGTTCGTTTCCCAAGATATGGAATCTAAGCCAGTCCTGATATATATAAAAGTTGAAAGAAGATCAATGGATGATTTTTCAAACTCCCTGAAGTAAAATGAACAACTCTGTGCTGTCACAAAATCACAGTGACCCGCCTAAGTGATTAATTCTTTGAGACTCATAAGACATTTATGAAAAAAATGAGGGAAAAAAAAGCCCACATTTCTTTCTAGAACTTGCAGTCTAACCCTGGAAGTGCTAGGCTGCAAAACAGAAAGGTAGATTATGAGCAAAGGCTTGGGAGTCAGACCGAATGAGATCAATCTCCAGGTCTACGACATACTAGTGAGTGGCCTTTCGCAAATTAGTTAACATCTCTAAGCAAGCCTTCAGTTTCCGCACATGTAAAAGAAAAATATCGCCACCTACAGCTATGAGGATCAGAAAATGAACGTAGAACACAGGATAGCACGCGGTACCCAGTAAAAGTTCCATAAATATTAAATAACAAGATATGAAACGTTAGGACACATAAGGAGGAAGAGTTCTCTAAAACTGCCTCTCTCCTAATGCTCTAGCCCCTGGGTAAGTTTAAGTATCTTTTATTATGAACACAGGAATACATTTAACATCTATTTTCGTGCCTCTAGAACTAATTCAGCACCACCCTAGCCTTAAAGAAACCCAATATTAAACAAGATTTAAAAGAGATTGCTTCTTTAGTCCCAGAAAGCACAATTCACATATGAAGAAAGTAGGAGAATACACTTTTCTTTGGGTCCTTTGCTATATGGAATAGCTTCCCCCCGTCTCAGAGATCAAGATTCCTAGAGAAGCAAACACAACTGATCCAAAATATATACAGTTCATCCCGAAAAAGAACATTGGATGAAACACCCAGTATTCTCACCAGTTTGGAGCTTTCACTTTTAGGCAATTGTTTGATACAAGCTTCGAGACTGCTGTCTTCCTCACTGGTGCCACTCTGATCCTATGAGACATTAAAAAGAAAATGGCAAAGATGTCATTCTTCACTCACACTGACTTGAACTGTAGTACAGATAATCATAGTTGCTTGTTTTATTGTTGTAGTGGATATTGTTTCTTCTTTTCTTCCTTTCCAGTAGGTTTTTTTTTTTTCCCCCATGGTATCTACAATAACCTGTTGCTCAGAGATACACCTTAGAGAAAGCTGATCCCTACTCTCTGCCCCAAGAGAAGGCCTGATTGCCTTAAGGCTAATCTTATTCTTTTTGCCAATGATTTTGTCAGGAATGGGTACGTGATCCAGTTCTGGTCAATGAGACACCAAGAGAGGTTTGCTGGAGACTTCTGGAAAGGTCCTTTGTAGGTCTTAAAAGAACCACAGGAAGTCCCCATACCTCCCAAGTTAACAAGGGAGCATGAAGTGCAAATAGCCATGGGCAGCCATCCCACTACCAGAAGGAAAGCAGCCTGGGAATGACAGAGCAAAGGCAAAGATGGAAGAACTGGTTCTCTGATGACAAAATGGGGACACTGGACCATCCAAACCTGAAGCCCAGCCTTATTCTTAGCAATCTTCTAAGGAGAGCTAACCTACTTACTTATTTTTTCAGTCAGTCTGAGTTAGCTGTTCTGTTCCCTCCAGCCAAAACTTTCTCAGACGTTTGTTTGTCTTCTGCACAAGGTTAAACTGTTTGATGGGAGACTATGTTTATCTTGTTTACTTGTGAAACTCAGGTACCTAGCACCCTGCCTGGCACATGGAAAACACTTGATAAATACAGGCTGAACCAATAAATCCAGTACTTGCTTTCTTGGTGACTTTTTTCCTGCGGATTCCTAAAAGTATTTATTTAATGTAAATGAGACATCTGGTAATAATAAGCCACATTAAAATTCCAAAACACATTAGGCATCTCCTCAATTGAATTATGATATATTATATACTATAGTTACTTTCTTTGCTTTCTGAGGACACATAGAGGAGAATAAGGATAATAAATGGAGTATTTGCATTGTATTTATATGGATTTTTATTTTAAAACGCCACCATCTGGGATTAGTACAAATTCAGGTGGGGTTGTTAGTAGAGAAATGGTTTTGATTTTGAGACATTCAATCTGGTAATTTAAGAAGTGCAAATTAAAGCAAAGATACAGCATTTTTTCATCTATCAAATGGACAAGAGAATAGAAAGAGAACATTCAGTATTAATAAC